AGCATAGCATAGCGCATCACAACATATCATAGCATATCCCAGCATAGCATAGCATAGCGCAGCATAGCATAGCAGAGCACAGCGCAGCACAGCACAGCATAGCACAGCGCAGCATAGCATAGCATAGCAGAGCAAAGCATAACATAGCAAATCATCGCATAGCATAACAGCAAATCGTAGGCAAAGCAACAGCAGCGACAGCAACGCACAGCACAAGCAACGCAAAGCAAAGCAAAGCAAAAGCAAAAGGAAAGCAAAGGACAGGCAAAGCGAAAACAAGGTGCGACAGATGCCGAGCTAGCCTCGATGGCCGGACCGGGGCCCCCGCAAACAGTGCCTTCCGTAACCATGTCGGCTCAACTCCGGAGGCCCTACCATGTCCCGAGGTTGGCGGAGTGAGGCGTTCAGCGGTGCTGCACAGCCCGCCTCGGCACCAGGTGGTGCTGCACAGCCCACCCAGCCTGTTGTGGCCATCGATGTGGGCGATGTCGCGTCCAAGCGGAACGACGATCAGCGGCTTGAAGGCAGCAAGATGTACACGGCTGTCGAGGATGGCTTCTGGGCGTTCGTTGTGCTCTTTGCGGCTGAGTACGGCCTGCAAGACATGCGCTTCATCAGTCGCACGACGCGGGGCACGTAGTACTCGCACCATGCCCGCCTGGGCAGGGTAGAGGCGTGGGTCGTCAGGCCGATCCGGAGCACAGGCTTGCTCGAGATAGGGATGCCTGACGCGAACATCCATTCGACGTCGCCGAAGAGCGGGGAGGATGGTAAGGGTGCGCCAGTGACGGTCGCCCTGCGCGCAGCGGGGAGCATGCTGACACCCCCGCCGTCTCTGTCCAAAAAAACACGAACCGCTCGCGGGCCTCGCGAACACGATTCAAGACATGCCCCCAAGTGTAGTTTGAATTGTTCCCTACCTAGGCTCTGCCCAGAAGGGTTCTTACTCTCTTGGCTTAAAGGGCCGGGCAGCGGGAACCGCCCCGGGCGGTTTGCCCAGTATCCGCCCCGACATTCCCCCATTTGCGCCTTCGTAGTTTAGCTTTGCTTATCTCATCTTAGCTTAGCCTAGCTTAGCTTAGCTTAGCATAGCTTCGCCTAGCCTTGCTTAGCTTAGCCTAGCCTAGCCTTGCCTAGGTCAGCTTAGCTTAGCCTAGCTTAGCTCAGCAACATTATCATATCATAACATCGCAGAGCATAGCATAGCATGGCATAGCATAGCGAGCATAGCGCATCACAGCATAGAGTAGCGCAGCATAGCATAGCATAGCACCGCGTAGCGCAGCGCAGCGTAGCACAGCGCAACGTATCATAGCATAGCTTAAGTTATTGTAGCGCAGCGCAGCATTTCATATCATAGCGTGGCATAGCATAGCGCAGCATGACATAGCATTACGTAGCATAGCATAGCATAGCGCCGCGTCGCGTAGCATAGCATTACGCAGCGTCTCATAGCACAGCATAGCATAGCATAGCATAGCGCAGCACACTATCTCATACCATATCATATCGTATCATAGCACAGCGTAGCATACCGTAGCGTGCGGCGCACTCCGGATACGGAGCACTCTCAAGCACGCCTGGCGAGCGAATACGAAACCATGCGTGCGCGTGTGTCTGCGCGCAGGCAAAGCGATCGCAAAATCAAGCAACGACAGAACAACACCAACGCAAACGCAACAACACAAGCGACCACAACAACAAAGGCAAGGCAACGCAAAGCAAACTCACAACCAATGCGAACGTGTAGATGTATATGTAGATGTATATGTATATGTATATGTAGATGTATATGTAGATGTAGATGTAGGTGTATATGTAAGTGTAGATGTAGGTGTGGATGTAGATGTAGATGTGAGTATCGTTGTTGGCGTTGGTGTAGATGTATATGCAGGGGTAGCTGTTAATGTAGTTGTCGGTGTAGATGTAGATGCTGCTTTCCTAGATGTTCCAACTCCTAGGTAGGGTCGCACTGGGGTAATTAATCCGATTCAAACGGTGTCGCGGCCCTTACACCCCTGCCGGAAGGCCCCGCCTCAGCGAGGAGGGCATCGTACATTCGTATTGTTTACCAGGGTTCGCGCCCCTCGCACCGCTCGAGGGAGGCCCCGCCCTGAGCGAGGAGGGACTCGGAAATCCATGCTATTTACAAGGTTTCGCCGCGGTCATCCCACCCCTCCAGGTAGACCCACCCTGAACAAGGAGAGTATCGGAAACCCATATTGTTTACAAGGCTTCGTACTTTTCCCATGTCTCCAAAGAAACCCCACCTGAGCGAGGATGGTGTCGAAAACCAATCGATGCGCAAGGTCCCGTGCCCCTTCTCACCCCTCCAGGGAGGGCCCGCCCTGAGCGAGGGGGGTTCCGGAATTCCATGATATTCACCAGGTGTCGTGCCCCTCCCACCCTTCCAAGAAGCGCGAGCTTCGGCGCCTGTGAGGAGGGCGTGGGATTCCACGGCGTCTGCCATTCGAAATGGAACCTGAAAGGGCTCCCTGCACCGTTTACGGTTGTCGGAGAGGAAGCCTGCAAGGGCTCCCTGTCCAGTGACGGGAGAGGAGCCCTGAAAAGGTTTCCTGTCCCGTCTGTGTTCCCGGAGGGGGAGTCTGAAAACGATTCCCTCTCCGGTAGCGGAAAGGGAAACCTGAAAAGGGAGGATTCTCTTGGGTCCCCCCGGGGCGCCCTTCGGTGACTCTTCGGCAATGTTGAAGAAGTTTGGGAGCCCTCTTCAAGTCCTCTCGAGAGCCACCTGGGGGCCACTTTGAGGGCATCAGGGGCCCATGAGAGGCGAACGTGCGAGAATGCATAACACTGAAAACATGTGCCTCTAAGGTTTTTGGCCCCCTGGCGGGTCCCATCGCAGATTGAGAAAGCAGGTGTAGTCATCTCGAGGCCGTTTGGGGGCCTTCTGGGGAATGCGTGGAGGCAATGTTGCAACGTGTTGGGCTATATTGCGCCATCTTGAAAGCTACGGGAGCTATCTCGGGCCCTAGAAAAGCTATCTTGATCCAGATCAACCGCTCGGACCGCTCACGGGGGGCCCTTGCAAACCCGAGTGGAGGATTTCCTCGAATCAGGTGCGACAGGGGAAGGGGGATTTTAAAAAAAACGAGCCCCCTCGAGCGCGAAAACGGAGGGGCAGTATTCCAAAAAGAAGGGAGCGCGTCCTGAACAGCCGTCCTCTCCTTCCTTGTTGCTTCCCCTCCTCGCCCACCTCGGCCTTTCCATGCGTGCATCTGAACGTCATGGACCTTCAGTTGTTCTTGCTAGTGTTGTGCCCCGCTAGTCCCGTAGCATCCTTATGGTGGGGAACGCCGGCAGCATTCACCTTGCTGCTCCGCGCGGGTTCTAGAGCCGAGGTCGCCATGTGCTCCAGATATCCTTGGGCGTAGCCACCGGTCGTTGAATGCAGGTATCTTTGGAATCCCAGCTTCCAATCTACTTTAAGCGCCTCCCTACTTCAATGATAATAATCGGGCGGCTACACCTTTTCCATCCTCTCTGGGGGCGGGCGGACACAATCTATTTCCAACGCCTTCCTTTAGCGGGCGAAGAAAGGTATAACATAAATGTTTCCGTCACTGGGGGCGTTGCCCCGGGGCGGTTGGGAAGTTTATACCTCGACGTGCCACCGTAAGGGTATAAATTTTCCAGCCGCCCTGGGACAGGCGCCCGTTGATTCCTACTTCATGTTTCTACCTACTTCTTCCTACCGACGGGCATCTTGAGCTCATCGCAGCATGACCTGATCTTCGCAAGTGGAGCAGGGGAGGGCGGCGGCGGCGGCCCTCCAAGTTGACCTCAGGGTTCCAAAGGCGGTTCCCTTGGGTTCCAGTGCTCCCCTCGGTGCGACGATCGAAGCGAGCATTGAAATTCTGGTCGGAGGAGGACCAGTCGAGTCAACGGTGTTTTTCGTCTAGTTTGGGCCTCCTGGAGGTTTCTCGTCGCCACGGCTGGATCCGCCTCGGGCAACGGGTCAGTGTGGACCCCAGGAGAGGTCTAGGGACGGATTTTGAAAAGATGTTGGCCTTGCGGGAGCCGTCGTTGTCTCAATTGGCACTCCTTCGACTTGGAGACGGAGACAGCGGTTCCAGACCAGTTTGAGCAGGTCTCGGTTGGTGCTGGTGTCGCAGCGGACGCTGTCCATTTCAGGCGGCAGACCGCCTGCCCAGTAGCGGCCGTTGGGCATCGTACCCACATTCGCTGCTGGGCATCGTACCCACTCGTTCCGCACCCACTTCGGGCGAGCCATTCGTTCGCATCGACCTTTCTTTGTCGCTGTCGACCAAGTTGTTTCGGGGTCCTTCGGGGGTGCTAACAGGATCGGGGGGTTAGACTTAGATGCTGAGGTGATTTTCAAACAAAGCTTCATTTGGTCACAAGTGTCCTTGGTGGCTTATAGGGGTCTGGTCCTGGCAAAGTGGGCGGAGCCCGCTTGGCGGATGATCTATTCACCCTCAGCCACTTTGGGCACTTGTGGCCCTTTTCTCTGCTAGGTTGTGCTGGACATAAGCCTACCTTCGGGCGAAGAGAATTATGCAGATGCACCGATCCTGGCAAGACCCACCCTTGACCCAGGATCGGTGCATATGCTGTCGTGGCCACGGTCGGATGGCGAACGCACCGATCCTGGGCTCAGGATGGGTCTTGCCAGAATCGGTGTATGTGCATAGTTCTCTTGTCTCTATACCTTGGCATCCACTCGTAGCCCCCCCCCCCCCCCTCCCAGCTCTGACTGCAACAGGATGTCTGATGTCCTCGAAGCAGTAAAGAAGAAAAACACTATAGTTGAAAGAAGGCGCCGACAAGCGCATACTTGTTGAGAGGATGCAGAACATGCAATCACTTGTTGTCGCTGTCTCCTGTCTCCTTGCGACACCGCCTGCCTCCTTAAGGCACCCCGGGGAGCCGCTCTCCTCTGGCCCCCCCGGGGCGTCGTTGGCCATCCTCGCCGGGAGCCTGGCGGGGCTCCAGAGCGTGCCCGCGGCTCTCCACGACAGCGCGCACCCGGACGACCCGCCCAGCGCCGTGGTGTTCCCGCAGTGCTTGGGCGTGTGGTTCATGTCGACGGCCATCTATCCGAGGGGGCTCAAGCCAGCATCGCCGGCCCTCTCGTAATGGAGGATGACGAGCAATTAATGACCAGGGGTCGTGTTCACGCGGCGGCGCCCGGGATGACGACTAGAAAAAACCGGCCGCGGGCTGGAAAACTATGTTTTATATCTATCTCCTCCGGTCAGACATTGCGCAGAACTAGCAGAAAACTATTTGTTTAATCGTTCCCCCCCCATTTTTTTGATTAATCGTCATCCCGCATTACAGTGGGGGCGCACATCAAGAAACCATCTGCTCTTCGTCAGGGTATTCTGGGCTTCTTCGCTCCTCGCGCTGCGCGGCGACTTCCTGCCGCCGCTGAAGGAGCCTGCTGCGTTCATGGTGCTCCGGGTTTCCCCTCAGGTCTACCTCGCGCATGGGTTCTCAGGGTTGGGTTTTTTGCGAGGGTTTCTTGCGGCCGCGCCCGCACTGTATCACCGCGGGGGTTGCTGAGGGGATCGGAAGTGTTTAGAAGGGGATGCCGAGGTCGTTTGTGCGTTTGGTCTGACCGAGCATTGAAGTTGGCCGCAGGTGCCCTGAGTAGCTCAACGGGGGTGCAGATCTGGGCGAAGCGCGCGGAGCCCACTCAGTGGAGCTATCTAATCACACTGAGCAGCTTTGGGCACCTGTAGCCCAATTCTTAGCTAGCTTAGGCCAGATATAATCCACATTGGCATCCACTATTGAGACTTTGCCTTCCGATCCCCTTAGCAACACCTGCGATGATCCAATCTTGCCGATTGAAGGTCGGGGAGGGGGAGGAGGAGGAGGAGGAGGAGGAGGAGGAGAAGGAGGAGGAGGAGGAGGAAGAGGAGGAGGAGGAGGAGGACAAGGAGGAGGAGGCCAGAGGAGGGCAGTTACTTCACAGATCCGGCTCGTGTTGCCCCCCCTTCCCTGGTCCCCAGAGAGGCGGAAACCAGCGGGAGCCTTGAGACAGGGGACAGGGGTCAATGCAAATGGGGGTCAGCCAGAGCGCAGGGTTTTGCAGAATCTTGCGCAGCCAATAGTGCACTGACCTGGGCTAGCATGCAGGATCTTTCAGGATCCTGCAGGATCTTGCAGGAACCTGCAAAGCCTGACTGACCCCTGTTTGCGTTGACCCGAGTCAGTGCGTCCCCGAAACAATTGACGAAGCATTGGGAGGGAGGAAGACGGAGGTGGACGTGTACGAATGTTCGGTTCTTCGTAGCACGCGTTCTGATGTCAGCTGTCTGGGGCAAGCTGCGTGGTGTAAATTATGTGGTGCAGGCTGTGCTGCACAAGCGACGTGGTGTAATCAATGTGTTGTAAACTATGATGCACAAGTCATGTAGTGTAAGCTATGCTATGCAGGGTATGCGGCGGAAGCTGTATGGTGCAAGCTGTCCAGTTCACGGTATGTCGCATAAGTTGTGGTGCGAATCTAATGTTGTCACTAATGCGTTGTCAAGTTCACTGTTCGCGCAAACATCCCGCCCTTCACCAGCAACTTGACTGGCAAGAACCACGCGGCCACGATTGCATGTGCTGATTGGAACTTGCAGGCGCGTCCCTACGGCCGCACTGGCGCTCGCACGCCTATGCGCTGTGCGGCGAAATGGTTTGGCACAACTGGTGCGGACGCGATGGCGCTTGCTGACGAGATCTCCCCAGCGCATCTCAAAGGCTGCCTTGGCGCGCGGGCGTTTCATGTTGGGTCGGTGACCCTGGCGGGCGCGATGTCATGTTGACGTCGACAATGCCGGCAACCGTAATCATAATAGCGGTAGTGGTGACGGCGACGCCAATAACGGCGCCGATGCTGGCGACGACAACGACGATTATGACGTCCATCTGCCGGTGGTTAAGGTGTGTGGGGCAATGGTGACGGCAATGGCGTCGATTGGCGATGACGACGACGGCCGTCATGCGATGTCCCTGACGAGCGTGATAGACAGGTGTGCACGTTCAGAAATGTAATTCATCTGGCAAGTTGTTTTGCGCAACGCATTGGGCTGTTCGTATGTGCTTAAAGAGCTCGGTATTGAAGCGCTTCGACAATCATGGTTGTGAAAGGATGCCGGCACGCACGCGCGGCAGCGCACGCATGATCTCATGTGATTCGAATTTGTATAGTGGGCGCATGCTAGATCAACACGGCTTCGTCGCGTAACGACATGGGAATGTGGTTGCTGCACGAGGTTGCTAACGGCCGGTGGTGCCCCAGTGTGTTCAGCGAGTGCGCGCAACTGCTTGAGGCTATCACTTTGCAGCACGTGCAGATCTAATATGGTTGTCTGCTTTCAACATGCGCGACCGCGTGTGGACAATTCGTGGCATTTGCCTGCCACCGATTATTGAGAATGTAGCGTTTGACGTGAGCGGGTGCGCGCGCACGGTATCATCGGATATAGACGTCGGGTGTTGTCAAGACTGGCCCTCTTTTGGTGGTACAGGTTCACGTGGCAACTAAACGGCATCTTATGCACATACCGTTACAATATGGGAAAACGATGACCCCGGGCGCGGGGGAGGGTCGCAGGTATGATTATTCCTTGGACAGGACAAAACATGTGGCAACAACTGTTTGGTGCAAGATACAATGGAGACCCATGCCAAGAAACACCCGTATTGTCTCCAGGGTACTCTATGCCAAGAAACACCCTTATTGCCTCGAGGGTGCTCTGGGTTTCTTGGGTTTTGATGGCTTCGCGATGGAAAGCATGACGTCCCTACACTAGAAATCAATGGACGTCGTGGGGTCTGAGGGCTGGGTTTCTTGTGGAGGGTTTCTTGTTTTCGAGCTCCGATTGTACGTGGAACAATATATGCGGTGCAAACTCTGAGGCCGCCCAGCGCACGAGCGCATGAGGCGACACATCGGCACAACCGACCCAGCGCACGAGGCGGCCATGTGCGGCGACGGGCGATCACCAGGCGAAACTTCGGCACACCCGCCCAACGAGGGCGCCCACGGGGCGTCCCCGACGCGCCCACCAGCCGGGCATCAGCCGGGCGGACAGGCGGGAAGGGACAAGGGGGGGGCAGCAAGCAGGGGACAAGGGCGGCGAACACAGGGGGAGACGGGAGACACGGCGGAGGGAGGGGATGAGCAACGGCAAGCAGACGGGCGGGCAGCGGGGCAGGGGGAACAAGGCCACCCGCGACGAGGCGACGGACACTACGGTGGTGACGCCGACCAGGCGGCAAGCACTTCCATCCAACTCGCCAAGACTGGGAGGACGGACCTTCTAAGATCAAACGTGGTCTTTAGACAAGGGGGCGAACAATGCCAGGGGTGCCCGCCGTGGTCTTGGCGGGCCCTCCTTCGATGAGCTGGGGAGGTGAGAGAGGCTGTGGAGGAGCGAAAGGAGAAGCGGTAGGAGGAGGAGGAGGAGGAGGAGGAGGAGGAGGAGGAGGAGGAGGAGGAGGAAAAGGGAGAGAAGGAGGGAGGAGGATGAGGAGGACGAAAGGGAGGGCGAGCGGGCAGAGGGGGCGAGGAGGCAGAGGAGGGACTGGAAGGAACAAACGCCACGCGCGCGCTCGCCAGAGTAATCCCAGGGCCCTGCAAAATATCCGTTCGCTGGCAGTTCTTCGGTGCGCGGCCAGGTGTGGCCCGATCCAGAACCAGCTGCCCCCAGCGGGTCTACATCCACGAAAAACCAGGAGACCAGAGCGAGGATGATGGGGGGTTGACGAAGTCCTCTTCCTGCGAAGTTGATGCGCGACTTGTGCGTTTCGGTTGTCGAAAAGGCCTTGCGGCCGCATCTGTCTTGCAGTCCTGCGCCCAGTTGGTCTGGTCCCAGGTCGTTTTCACCAGCGCCTTTTTGCGACATTTCCTTGGGCCCGTGATCCGAGAGGAGAAGGAGGAGGAACAAACATAAGCAGCCTCGCCCGATCGATGTCGGGGGCCTGGAAGAAGCTCGCTGTCAGTTTTTCGGGGCACGGCCGTTTGTGGTCCGATCCAGACCTACTGGCCTCCATCGGTTCCTCACACGCGACGCTGACCGAGATCGCTTTCCCCGAAGAGCAAGAGAAGCAGAGCGAGACCCAACACATGCACACGGTGGGGCACTTTGCTCAAGTTCTTTATATGTTGAGGGCGGCGGTGATATCCATGGCCAATCCGTGATTGGAGTTCCACCAGCTTCCAGAGCCTGGATAATTGATCAAATGGCTCTTTAGTCAAAGGCCGCACCATCCGTATCTATTTTGGCTCAAGCGAGCCGGCTCACGGCAGGCCCTCGGGCGCGCGCGCCCGCCAGCGGCCATGGCGCACTCCGGATGCGGCGCGGCGTGTGCGGGGGCGTCGGCCGCACGCTCGCGCGGCGCCTGCGTCGGCAGACGCGCTGGGAGGTCGGCGAGAGCCGTGCGAGCGCCCTTGCGGGGTGCACGCATGCTTTGAGGGAGGCACTGCGGGCGCATTGGGTGTTAGCAGACCTCGCAGGCTGCCACTACCCAGCCATGGGTGAGCAGGTGGCGATGGCCCGACTCCTCGGGCTCGGCGGGGAAGTGGTGCTGCAGGCCGGGCTCGAGCTGGCAGACGGCAGCGGTGCCAGGCATTCGCCCCCGGGCGGCTTGCGACGCCCGCCGCCGAGGCCAGCGGGAGCGCTGGCATGGGCAGCCGAAGGCGCACCCAATGGCGTGGAGTTCGCGCAAGACTGCTGCGACATGCGTGCGCAGTGCGGCTGGGCCCCAGGAGACTGGAGCGGTGGCACAGGCGCAGGGCAAGGCGTTGCGTCGGGCAGCGACTCCGTCGGCGAGTGCGGCGAGTGCGGCGAGTACGCGATGGAGAGGTATTTGATGGCGAAGGGGGCGGCCCTCCTCACTGGCTTCCGCGCGGGAACCGAGGGTGAAGGCCTCGACGGCGGCGATGTCTACGGGGAGGGGCGGCGATGTCCACGGGGAGGGGTTGCAGGATCTGCGGAAGTTGCAGGAGTTGGAGCGGGCGCGGGTGACGAGTCGGAGGACGGCACGGTTCCTCCCGACCCCGCTTCCGACACGTTCGTGGCGGAGTCCGCGGACGCCTGAGGACCAGAAGGCTACGAATCGTGGCGCCGGCGGACCTGGCGGAAGCCAGCCACGAAGCCTCTTTGGAAGGTCCTGGAGGATGCCGTCGCGAAGCGGGAGGCCGCGAAGGCTGCCACAGTCGACGACGCATCCAATAAGGCGGACGTCGCGGAGGCGCGCGCGGAGCGCCGGCGCGCTGACTTCGCGGGGTTCGGGGCGCTGTTCGGCGGCGTTGACGGCGCGCCGGCGGGAAGAAGCCGCGGAGCAGCACGGCAGGGTCGCCGATCTGGCCGTCGAGGCGGACGCCCATCCCGTTGGCGGAGCTGCGCCTGCAGCTATCTCGAATGCGGCCAGATGGAGGGCGCGTGCTGCCGTCACCCCACGCCTGGCTGAAGGACCCGGCAGCGGGCAGCTCGGGGTCGAAGCTGGCGCGTTTCGGTGCCCGCTCGCGCCCGAGGCGGTGGACCACGACCTCGAGGAGGTCGTCGCGGTGGCGCGGCCGCCGCCGCGCCTGCGTGCCGACCTCGGGGGGTTCGGGGTGCTGTTCGGCGGCGTTGACGGCGCGCGGTGCGAAGGGGCCGCGGAGCAGCACGGCAGGGTCGCTGATCTGGCCGTCGAGGCGGACGCGCGTCCCGTCGGCGGAGCTGCGCCTGCAGCTGTCTCGAATTCGGCCTGGCGGCGGTCGCGCGCTGCCGTCTCCCACGCCTGGCTGAAGGAGCCGAGGGCGGAGCAGCTCGGGATCGACGCTTGCGCGCCTCGAAGATCGCGGACGCCCGAGGCGGAGGGCCACGACCTTGAGACCGTCTATGGCACCAGCGATGGCTTCGAGCAGCGCGCGCAGGCGGGCGGCGGCGGCAGTGCCGACGGGGCCGCAGGCAGTGGGGCTGGGATGCGGTGCTCCTACGGTGTTTCGCCAGACGACGTCCTGGGTGGGATGTGCGGGGCCGTGGCCCACGTGGAGGCCATCGGCTGCGCCACCATCCAAGTCTGCCCCTGGCGGGCGACTCCATGATTCCATGATGCGAGACCACTGCGCCCCTGGTTGGGATCACGAAGCCTGGCTTAGTGCCATCCAGCGGGAGCGGGCCAAGTTTCGAGCGAGCTGCAGTTGAGCGGAATTGTGAGCGCGTGGACAGGCGGGAACGCGGCGAACCGCTGAGAGCGCAAGGGCCACCAAGGAGAGCGAACGCGTGGACAGGCGAGGTGGTGGCGACCCGCTGAGAGCGCAGGGGCCACGAATTCGAATTCTTTTGATGCGTGCAAGTCCTCAGAGGAGCGATACAACATGCCTTCGCCGTGCGCATATGCTGCCGGAGGTCCACGCGGGTCTCCTGGATCGGAGCGGAGGGCGCAATGCCGAGCCGATGTGTTTGATGCAGGCGGCGCTCGCTTCCGGACCGCGTAGGACCAGACGCGCCGCCTGCCGCGTTGTAGGGGCCCCACCGCCGCTGGTTGTCTATTTGGCGTCGCGGCGCCGAGGTGTGTTCGCACGCGAGAAACGCGCGGGAAACGCACACCTGTACAACCTGGCATCGTTCGGACGTGCGCATTTTCTCTCGGCGACGACCATTGACGACCATCTTGGGTCATCCTGCATGAAAATCAACCCACGAAATCGAAACATGCACGAGGAATGGACTTCCGAGCGATGGCGAGGCAAGACAGCAGCAGGACATGACCAACGGCGCGTTGTTTTCACCCAGAGCTGGCAGTGACCAACGTTCTGTCACCTTGCATACCGCCCACAGTTTGTGATACAGGTTCCCGCCGTGATCAGCAAACGTGTCCTGTTGCGCGTGACAATGAAGGGCCAGCTAGAAGATGCGAAAACGAAGCTCCAGACGTGGCAGGGGCTGGCTTGTTGTTGGTTCTGCCAGTGACGTGTCTTAGGCGCGCAGCGCAGGCCATGCAACCTACTATCGCGGGCAGCGGCGTGACACTGATTTGCGGGATGCTGGCGAGGATGGTTGCTGCAATTGCCCTCCCTGCGAAGCCTTTGCGGACAGTGGTGTCAGGGGCGGGCTTGCCTCGCGCCGCTGGGAGGGTGGCCGGCGAGGCACGGGCGGCACCAGCCCGCACCGCTGCCGCAGGGTGCCCCCGTAGGAGGGCCCAGGCCCCGGGCTCGGGCCATGGCTCGAATCCAAACAAAAAACTGCGCCGACACAATTTTTCGGGGCTCCGCGCGGACTCTTATAGGGGGTCGACTACAGAATTGATGTATCCCAGATGTGATTTTGTCGTCGAGCGCATGTGAAATATACGCAGAACACTCCGCAACAACAAGTAGGACAGTGAATGACCGCTCGGCCCCCTCACTCTGACTAAATGCCGTATGTCAGGGCGGGGCTAGGACGAGGATCAAATCCGTTCCGGAGTCCTCCAGAACGGTCTTAGAGAGCGTCCCGGGACGCTCTGAGGAGGCCGCGGCGCCAAGGGAAGACATCTTCCAGAGCTGTCGGATCTAAGAGATTCTCGCTGTATCTCCAGTCGGTGTTATCCTCGTCCTGGTTTCGTCTTGCACGCTGTTTCTCTGCATGGGCGCGCCCAGCGTCGGGCCCCATCGGCATATGGGAGCGCGAGACGGCCCGACTCAGCCTGGGGCCACGCCTGTGCGGTCGGCGCTGGACGGGTGGCGTGCAGTGCGGCGCTGCTGGCCCCACCTTTTGAGAGGCGTGTGCCCGGGTGAGGCAAGGTTTCGCAAATAGTCCTCCCCCTCCCCCTCCTGCCCCTCCAATCTCTCCCAATTCCTTCTCCTCCTCCTCCTCCTCCTCCTCCTCCTCCTGCTCCTCCTGCTCCTCCCTCCTCCTCCTCCTCCTGCTCCTCCTGCTCCTCCCTCCTCCTCCTTCCTCCTCCTCCACCTCCTCCTCGTCCGCACTGCAGTGGGCACATGAAATAATTACGCTGCCGAGGAGCCCCACATACTTATATTATGGCTGGGGTGATGATAGCTGAAGTGAAGCATGTAAGAATGATGTCGGTGGCCGTTGCCACCCCCTGCGCACCCCTTATTTTGTCCAGAAAGTGCCACGCCTGCTATGCCCTGGACGACCGTCGTGCATAGCGGCCGCGGTGAGGGACCACCCCCTGCGCACCCCCTTTGGTGTCGAGAAAGTGCCACACCTGCTATGCCCTGGACGACCGTCGTGCATAGCGGCCGCGGTGAGGGACCACCCCCTGCGCACCCCCTATGGTGTCGAGAAAGTGCCACACCTGCTATGCCCTGGACGACCGTCTCGAATAGCGGCCGCGCTCGGGGACCACCCCCTGCGCACCCCCTATGGAATCGAGAAAGTGCCACGCGTATTATGCCCATGACGACCGTCTCGGATAGCGGCTGCGCTCAGGGACCACCCCCTGCGCACCCCCTATGGAATCGAGAAAGTGCCACGCCTACTATGCCCTGGACGACCGTCTCGGATAGCGGCCGCGCTCAGGGACCACCCCCTGCGCACCCCCTATGGTGTCGAGAAAGTGCCACGCCTGCTATGCCCTGGACGACCGTCTCGGATAGCGGCCGCGCTCAGGGACCACCCCCTGCGCACCCCCTAAGTGTCGAGAAAGTGCCACGCCTGCTCTGCCCTGGACGACCGGCGCGGATAGGGGGACCACCCCGTGCGCACCCCCTATGGTATCGAGAAACTGCCACGCCTGCTACGGCCTGGACGACCGGCGCGGATAGGGGGACCACCCCGTGCGCACCCCCTATGGTGTCGAGAAACTGCCACGCCTGCTACGGCCTGGACGCGGATAAAGGGGGACCACCCCCTGCGCACCCCCTATGGTGTCGAGAAAGTGCCACGCCTGCTACGGCCTGGACGACCGGCGCGGATAGGGGGACCTTCCCGTGCGCACCCCCTATGGTGTCGAGAACTGCCACGCCTGCTACGGCCTGGACTGGCGCGGATAGGGGGACCACCCCCTGCGCACCCACTATGGCGTCGAGAAACTGCCACGCCTGCTACGGCCTGGACGACCCCGCGGAAAGGGGGACCACCCCCTGCGCACCCCCTATGGTGTCGAGAAAGTGCCACGCCTGCTACGGCCTGGACGACCGGCGCGGATAGGGGGACCACCCCGTGCGCACCCACTACGGCGTCGAGAAACTGCCACGCCTGCTACGGCCTGGACGACCGGCGCGGATAGGGGGACCACCCCCTGCGCACCCCCTATGGTGTCGAGAAACTGCCACGCCTGCTACGGCCTGGACGACCGGCGCGGATAGGGGGACCACCCCGGCGCGAGATGCCACACGGGGACGACACCCCGTGCGCACCCCCTATGGTGTCGAGAAACTGCCACGCCTGCTACGGCCTGGACGACCGGCGCGGATAGGGGGACCACCCCCTGCGCACCCCCTATGGTATCGAGAAAGTGCCACGCCTGCTACGGCCTGGACGACCGGCGCGGATAGGGGGACCACCCCCTGCGCACCCCCTATGGTGTCGAGAAACTGCCACGCCTGCTACGGCCTGGACGACCGGCGCGGATAGGGGGACCACCCCCTGCGCACCCACTATGGCGTCGAGAAACTGCCACGCCTGCTACGGCCTGGACGACCGGCGCGGATAGGGGGACCACCCCCTGCGCACCCCCTATGGTGTCGAGAAACTGCCACGCCTGCTACGGCCTGGACGACCGGCGCGGATAGGGGGACCACCCCGTGCGCACCCACTACGGCGTCGAGAAACTGCCACGCCTGCTGCGGCCTGGACGACTGGCGCGGATAGGGGGACCACCCCCTGCGCACCCTCTATGGTATCGAGAAAGTGCCACGCCTGCTACGGCCTGGACGACCGGCGCGGATAGGGGGACCACCCCCTGCGCACCCCCTATGGTGTCGAGAAAGTGCCACGCCTGCTACGGCCTGGACGACCGGCGCGGATAGGGGGACCACCCCGTGCGCACCCACTACGGCGTCGAGAAACTGCCACGCCTGCTACGGCCTGGACGACCGGCGCGGATAGGGGGACCACCCCCTGCGCACCCCCTATGGTGTCGAGAAACTGCCACGCCTGCTACGGCCTGGACGACCGGCGCGGATAGGGGGACCACCCCGTGCGCACCTATGGCGCAGAAACTGCCACGCCACGCCTGCTACGGCCTGGACGACCGGCGCGGAAAGGGGGACCCCCCCTGCGCACCCCCTAAGGTATCGAGAAAGTGCCACGCCTGCTACGGCCTGGACGACCGGCGCGGATAGGGGGACCACCCCGTGCGCACCCACTACGGCGTCGAGAAAGTGCCACGCCTGCTACGGCCTGGACGACCAGCGCGGATAGGGGGACCACCCCGTGCGCACCCACTAAGGCGTCGAGAAACTGCCACGCCTGCTACGGCCTGGACGACCGGCGCGGATAGGGGGACCACCCCGTGCGCACCCCTTATGGTGTCGAGAAACTGCCACGCCTGCTGCGTCCTGGACGACCGGCGCGGATAGGGGGACCACCCCCTGCGCACCCACTATGGCGCCGAGAAACTGCCACGCTTGCTACGCCTGCTACGGCCTGGACCCCGGGCAGGTTCCAGAGGGCGTCCGGGGCCCCAGCCGAGCGCCCCGAGAAGCAAACATCATCTTGGCATCGCTCGGACGTGTGCATTTTTTCTCGGCGAGAACCATCGAGGACCATCCTGGACCATCGAGCAAAAAAGAAAACACGCACGACACCGAAACATGCACGGGAAATGGACGTCCGAGCGACGGCAAGTCATTGTTTTCGCAAGGGTTTTACAATGTTTTCGGTGCCGTCTCTTTCTCGACATCCTGGGCCGCCGACACGGCATCAGGACGGGCCCAGCGACCGGCGCGGAAAGGGGGACCACCCCGTGCGCACCCACTAAGGCGTCGAGAAAGTGCCACGCCTGCTACGGCCTGGACGACCGGCGCGGATAGGGGGACCACCCCGTGCGCACCCACTACGGCGTCGAGAAACTGCCACGCCTGCTGCGGCCTGGACGACCGGCGCGGATAGGGGGACCACCCCGTGCGCACCCCCTATGGTGTCGAGAAAGTGCCACGCCTGCGACGGCCTGGACGACCGGCGCGGATAGGGGGACCACCCCGTGCGCACCCACTACGGCGTCGAGAAACTGCCACGCCTGCTGCGGCCTGGACGACCGGCGCGGATAGGGGGACCACCCCGTGCGCACCCCCTATGGTATCGAGAAAGTGCCACGCCTGCTACGGCCTGGACGACCGGCGCGGATAGGGGGACCACCCCGTGCGCACCCCCTATGGTGTCGAGAAAGTGCCACGCCTGCTATGCCCTGGACGACCGGCGCGGATAGGGGACCACCCCCTGCGCACCCCCTACGGTGTCGAGAAAGTGTGCCTTGCGCGCTAGCCCTGCGTGCTCTGCTGTGCTGAGGTGTGCTGTGCTGTGCCAAGCTGAGCTGTGCTGTGCTGTGCTGAACTGAGCTGAGCTGAGCTGTGCTGTGCTGTGCTGAGCTGAGCTGAGCTGTGCTGAGCTGTGCTGAGCAGTGCTGTGCTGTGCTGTGCTGTACTGTGCTGTGCTGTGCTGTGCTGAGCTGTGCTGTGCTGAGCTGAGCTGAGCTGTGCTGAGCTATGCTGAGCTGTGCTGTACGAAGAGTGAGGTGTGTGTCGCGGGTGCGGCGCGGCAGGGAAGAAAACCAGAACCCCACGAAGCATGTGGGGAAGAAGTCGGCCTGCTAGAGGGTGCCCCACGACGGAAATCCAGTCGCCTCGCGCAGCCCCACCAGCTTCTCCAGAAGCGATGCCCAGACGAGTGGCCCTGACCAAGGATGTGGGGGAGCATGCAGTGGAAGAAAGGGCTCGGTAAGACGTCATACCCCAAGAGGGGGAGGATGGAGGAGGAATCGGAGGAGGAGCAGAAGGAGGAGGAGGAGGAGGAGGAGGAGGAGGAGGAGGAGGAGGGAGAGGGGGAGGGGGAGGAGGAAGGAGGAAGCAGGAGGAATAGGCAGATGAGGAAGAGGAGAAGGAGGATGAGTAGGAGGAGGGCGAGCAGAAAGGCCAGAGGCATCTTGGATGCCTCTCGGAGTCTCGTCGGATGTCTTCCGGTAGCTTATCGCAGTAGTCTTGGGGCGTCTTAAGAGGCAGTCTCGGGGGCCTCTTGGGGCGTCTTGGGTGCCTCTGGGGGGCCTCTGGGGGGTATCTTGTGGGTCTCTTGGGAGCCTCTTTGGGGCGTCTTTCGGGCCTCTTGGGGGCCTCTTCGGGCCTCCTGGGCACCCCTTGGAGCCGTATTGGGGCACCCTTGTTAGCCTTGGGGTCATCTTGGGGCCATCAAGGAGGAGATCGATCACATGCGGGGCGGTACTTAATAGCGTCGCCTCCCCCAGGATGCAAACATATGACCAACACCTTTTTGTAAATTCAATGGTTTGGACTTTCTTGCCGAGGCAGACAAACTCCCTCTGACACCTCGCGACCCCCCCGTCCAGGTCCAGAGAGAGGGGGTCGGGGGACGTGTAAGCCCCTCCCAGAAGGGGAATAAGTGAGTTGGAATAGAAAACTCCCCAAACCACTCGCGCCCCCAAGGGCTGGTGGGATTTCTGATCCCCAGGTGGCCCCAGGGACCCACAGAAGCTCTGGGACACCTGGGGACCTTGAGAGATGACAAAGGATGTGCCCCTCGAGTATCTTGTAGCAAGATTTCTTATCGCATGGTTCTGCGATGCCCCTCCCCTGATCCCCCCCACTCTTCAGCCCCTCCGCAGGTCCTCCTCGCAGCCTCGTGACCCCGGCGGGGGGGCCGCGGATCTCGTCTACGGGTTCTTGGCCCGGCTGCGGAAGAAGGCGGTGCACCATTCCGTCATCCCAGAGGCCGCCGCCATGCCGCTGACTCACATTGGAAGCCCTCTATCGTTTTTCCCTTTTTCTCTTCCACCTCCAGGTTTACTCCAACTATTCCCCAAACGGTGCTTTCACCCAGGGGCCCTCTCTTCTGCTCTACGGAACTAGGCCTGACCGTCGGTCTGGCGGTTCCGTTGTCGCCGTCGCCGCCCCGTCGCCGCCTCGTCGCCGCCTGTCGTCTGGGCCTGACCGTCGGTCTGGCGGCTCCGTAGTCCACTGGTTGCCCCTGCGACGGTGGCACGGCTGGAGAGTGGATGGTCCAGGAGAAACGAGCTCGTGTCAGATGAGTGCTTGCATGGGGGCTGAGGGACCATGTGCATTCTGATGTCTTGCTTTCTGCTGAGAGGGCAATGTGGGGGGCGCTGTGTTTGGCCAGCGGTCACCCGAGTAGGTGGAGGGGGCCTTCATCAGCAGGGAACATATATGAGCATGAAGAAAGGGGCAGTCCCCCCTTACCTTGGGAACTGCGTCCATGTGAGTGGGGGGTAGCGTGGAGGGGCAGGTGAATTTCATAGAGCGCCTTGCCGTCCCTTCTGCAGACGTGGGCCCGCGGATCCGACCCGCGTTTTTCAGTGGCTGCATCTGGGCGCTTGGCTTCCTGTTCATGATCAAGGGGATCACGCAGCTAGGATTTGCCGTGGGATACACCCTAGATGCCGTTGGTCCCATCGGCGTAGCGAGCGTTATTTCGATCTGCTTCTTCAAGGAGATCACCGAGAGGAGGCAGCTGATGATATACTTCGCTGCTGAGGCTCTTCAGCTTCTCGGCGTGGTGTTGATCACGGCTTTCAGCAAGCACTGATCTGACCGCAGCGTGTTTCTAAGAACCGCCGCGCTGCTACAGGCCCACAGGGAGGAGGAGGAGGAGGAGGAGGAGGAGGAGGAGGAGGAGGAGGAGGAGGAGGAGGAGGAGGAGGAGGAGGAGGAGGGGGAGGAGGGGGAGGAGAAGGAGGAGGAGAAGGATGAGGAGGGGGGAGGCGGGAGGAGGAATATATAGCATCAGCAGCAGCAGCAGCAGCGGGAGCAGCAGGGCTGAGTGTTGCAGGTCTGAGTCATCTGGCTTCCCGGCCAGGCCGCGGCGCACTTGATCGCCAATGGAGCGCAAGCAGCATCAGAACAAGCACAGTAGGGCGAGCAGGTGGAGGGATGAGGAGAATGAAACCCACGTCGGAAGGGCGCGCCTCGGCGGGCTCCCGTGCAGACGGCACTGGGCAGCTCGACGCGCGGCCGCGCGTGCGCCAAAGACTCCGCTGCAGGCGCCTACAAATCTCCCCCCGCCCGTCTTCCTCCTCCCTGCATCCCCTTCCCTTCCCGATCAGCATCATCATCATCACCACCATCATCATCATCATCATCATCATCATCATCATCGTCATCATCAGTATCACCAGCACCATCATCATCATCACCATCATAATCATCAGTAGCACCAGCACCATCACCATCATCATCAGCAGCATCATCATCAGCAGCATCATCATCATCACCATCATCATCACCATCATCACCACCATCATCATCATCATCATCATCATCATCATCATCATCATCATCATCATCATCATCATCATCATATTCATCATCATAATATTCATCTTCAACTTCATCATCACCAGCATAATCAACTGATCTTACTTTTTCTCCCCCTCCTCGCGCCCGTGTCTCGTGCGTCCACGTCGCGCGCCGGAATTTGATGAGTCTGGCCAGGCGCTCGTGCTGGCCGCGCTCGGAGTCGCCCGCCTTCGCCGCAAGGGTATCCGCGGCTCGGTGCAGCAGCTGCGGCCCTCTAGACTGTCTTTGGCCCGTCGGTTTCGGTTTCGCCATCGGTTGGGTCGGGTTTCGGTCGTGCTGTCTCCGTGGACGCGTATGCTCACCCTCTGCCTCGCGCCCCCTCCCTTCCGCAGCCGTCTTTGCCAGTATTTCTGGGGGTCTCTGGTGGCGAACCTGCCAGGACGCGGACGCCGCAGCGCGCCGTAACGCCCAGTGCCCTCAGGACCCCGCCCCCCGCCCAGCAGATGGCGCCTTGCTCCGCCGACGAGGCGCAGGTGATGCTGCCCGCTGACTCGCGGGGCCGCGGCGCGGACGGGGCCGGCCAGGCGCCGCAGGGCGCAGGCGCGGAGGCCCCCCGCGAGGCGCCCCCGCCGCGCACGTGCCGGCGCACGTTGCTCCTGCTGGCGGCCGCCGCCGCACTGGCGGCGCTCGCTGCCGCCGGCGCTCGCGCGAGCGGTGGCGGGCCTGCGGGCCCCGGCGGGCGGAGCGAGCGCCTGGCAGTCATCTCCGAGGGCGAGGTGGCAGCGGAGGGCGCGGGCCACCGACGGGGTGCCAAGGCCAAGGCCAGTGTGCCCGGGCACGAGCGCGCGGGTGCCACGGTCAGCTCCGAGGTCGGGGGAGAAAAAGATACGGATACGTGTTGTCCCCCTTCGTTTTCGGCCTTTCCTGGCCCTCCTGGGGAATCCTCGTTGTCACCGCTGGATTCGCCTCGAAATTCTGGTCAGAACGCACCCCGAGAGAGGTCCGGGGACAACACGTATCCGTATCTTTCCGCCCCCCAACGAGGGTGAGGCGGGGGCGACGAGCGGGGGCCGTGGCCACGCCGCCAAAGCCAAGGCCGAGGCGCCCAAGCACGGGGGCGCGGGTGCACCCGCGCCCCCGGCCCGGGCCGCGGAGGCTCCCCCACCGAAGCCCTCCAAGACCGAGGCGAAGGGCGGGCACCAAGGCCAGGGCGCCAAGGCCGACGCCAGCGTGCCAGGGCCGGGTCACGAGCGCGCGGGCGCCAAGGCCTTGGCCGCGGCCGCCCCCCCACCGACGAAGCCCACCAGGGAGGGCGCGGAGCGGCAGAAGCCCGCCGAGGCAAGCGAGGCAGAGCCGGCAGGCTGCCTCCGCTTCCCTGGCGTGCGGCTGGCCGACGGCAAGGGTGGCGCATTCGCCGAGGTGTCCGGCGGCAAGGGCAAGGGCGCGCTCGACGCGGACGCCTGCGAGGCGGCGTGCCGGTCGACCACGAAGTGCGAGCAGGCCATTTTCTCCGCCAGCGCCAACACCTGCTACATGTTCCAGGAGGTTTCGCGGAAGCTCGGCGACGGCGTCTTCGAGGCCGAGGAGAAGGGCTCCTCGGATTACCACGAGTCCATGTACTGCGGGGCCAACGCCACTGCGGCGCAGGAGGTGCAGCAGAGCATCAACTCTGCCCTCCAGGAGGGGAAGCGCTCGGCGGGCTTCCTGCTGAAGCACGGCCTGGAGAGGTGGGAAAACGACTCCGCAGAGAAGCAGGAGGCAATCAGGGCCGTGCAGCAGAACTGGGACGAGGCCGAGCGGAGGGCCAGCGAGACCCTGGCGAACCTGGGTGTCTACGACAAGGTGCCCCTGATCCACGGGGAGGAAACGATCAGCGGCTACGCCGGTTGGCTCTCGACCGGCAATGCCGGCGGGGGCCCCTTGGCCATGAATGATGGGCCACAGGGCTACAACGCCTACCGGAAGAACCTGGCGGGCACCGCGACGCAGCTCCCGGCCCTGCTGTGCCTGGCTGCCACCTTCGATCCCGAGCAGGCGCGCAGGTACGCGAAGACCGTGGCCGCAGAGTTCGCCATCAAGGGGTCCAACGTGCTCCTTGGGCCAGATGTGGAGGTGATCCGGGCCCCGCTCAGTGGCCGCTCCTTCGAGACGCTGAGCGGGGAGGACCCCTTCCTGGGTAGCGCCCTGGTCGGGCCGTTTGTGCGCGAGGTGCAGGACAGAGGCATAATTGCGACCGTCAAGCACTGGTTGGACAACAACCAGGAGGTGTTCCGTCAGTCCATGAACGTGGAGGTCGACGACCGCGCCCAGCACGAGATCTACATGCCCGTCTTCAAGGCCGCATTCGAGGCGGGAGCTGGCGCGGTCATGTGCGCGTATAACAAGGTGCGCGGAGACCACGCGTGCGAGAGCAACTACCTGCTGACGCAGCTTCTCCGGGAGGAGGTCGGTTTCCGCGGCTACGTCGTGAGCGACTGGGGTGCGGTCCACGACGGCATCAAGGCCGCCAACGCTGGCCTCGACGTGGAGATGCCCAACGGCAAGTACTTCTCGGGCCTCGACGTAGAGGGGCAGGCGGACCGCGTGCACCAGATGGCCCAGCACGTGCTTGCCTCCATGTACGCCTCCGGGCAGATGGACGGCAAGTTCACCGGCGCCGGCGAGAAGGGCAAGGTGTGGGCGGTCTCCACCAACGGCTGGCACAAGGAGGTGGCAAAGGAGATAAATGTCGCGGGCACTGTGATCTTGAAGAACAAGGACGGCCTCCTCCCGCTCGACGTGACGGGCAAGACCATCGCCATGGTGGGTAAGTATTGCGACCAGGCCATCGAGCCCGCCTACGGCCAGGGAAGCGTCTTCGCAGGCGGGGGCAGCGGGTATGTGGAGACCACTGGGACGGTGACCGAAGAGCAAAAAATGGCGTAAGCACAAACGTTTGGAGGTCTGCGTGGTTTTTGGGGATCGGCGCTGGACACCCATCACTGGCGAGAGGCGCGCGCAAGAGGCGCGCGCCAGCGGGGCGCAGCACCGATCAGGGAAATCAGCGCGGAGCTCCCAAAGTTTAGCACCCCGCAGTTGCGGATAAGAGTGAAGGGGGCGGGCGCGGGGTGGGTCGCGGATGGGTCGCGGGCGGGTCGCTGGTGGGTCGCGGGTGGGCGGTGGGTGGGTCGCGGGTGGGTCGCGGGTGGGTCGCGGGTGGGTCGCGGGCCAGGTCGCGAGTGGGACGACGACAACAGCAATCATGTTACCGAATGCTTCCTGATTCTGTATGCAGCATGCATCCATCATGATACCCGTCCCATCGCGGAGGATTTTCTTGCGCAGAGGGGGTCCGATATTTCCATGCCCAGATCTCTCTCCCGAGGATGTGTTGACAACACCTCTTCCGAGGCCCTTCAACATGTCGAGTCCGGATGGCAGACCGCCTTCGCAATCGCCCTGCCCGGGCGGCTTCAAACCGTTGGGACAGCCCCCCCACCCCCTTCTGGGCTCTGGGAGGGTCCCCGGAAACCCTTGAGCCCCTTGGAGAGCCTTTGGGGCTCCGTGGAGAGCCCCCAGCGCCTCTCAGAGAAGCTCCAGAGTCCTTATGGGAGACTCGAAGGTCCCTGCGGGACGCTTCAAAGTTCAGCTGGAGGTTTTCGGGTCCTCTTGAATGAGGCCTCGGAGTATTTTTGAGCCAGGCTTGGATGGAGAAATTTCGGGGGTGGGGTGAAAAAGAAAGGGAACTGGAGAAGGAGGAAGGAGGAGGGAAGACAAGGATGAGGAGGAGGAGGCGGAGGAGGTGGAGGTGGAGGACGACGACGACGACAACTTCGACGCAACGACGATGACGACGAGAGGACAAGAGGAGGGGGAAAGAGATGGGAGGGCACGAGGAGGAAAAGGAGGAGGAGGAGGACGAGGAGGAAGAGGAGGAAGATGAGGACGAGGAGGAAAAGGAGGAGGAGAACGAGGAGGAAAAGCACGGCGACGACGAGGAAATCAACCGCCGCCGGCGCCGCCGCCGACGATGACGACGACGACGACGACGACGACGACGACGACGACGACGACGACGACGGCGACGACGACGACGACGACGACGACGGTGTCGCCGCCGCGGGCTCCCGCGCGCCGAGGCCGGAGCGCCGGGGCGACCCACGGGGGGGCAACCGCAGAAGTCCCCAGGAACGCCGCAACGTTTCGGCGTGAACCTCGAGGCTTTTCTGGGGGTCTTCAGTAGAATCGGGGGAGCGTAAGACCCGGGTTTGCCAGGACTCGGGTTCGCCATCGTTTTTTGACGACCGCGCCTCGGGTTTTGACGAGGAGGAGTTTCGTGGGATGTCTGCAGCGGGAGGCCTCGTCAAAATGCAGGCTCGGCCTCGTCATTTTTTTGACGACCTCGTCGGGGATTTCCGAGTCCCCTGTACCCAGGTCTTACGTCCCCCTGATAGAAGCGGAGGCTGTACCGAGCCTGAGCATCGTCGATTGCAGGGCAGGCCGTCTGTGACGCCGAGGCGGCAGCGCTGGTCGTGAGCAGTAAGCAGGGATGTAGCGAGCGGGAGCGCCGGCTGTGTTGGAAAATCGGTTTGCGGGGGAGGGGCAAGTTTGCGGCGAGGGCAATGTAGGTAGGTAGGCTCTTGTTTGGGTTGGGTGCGCGGGGAAGACACGGTTTTTTCCTAATCGTCCTGTGGTGTTGGGCCCTCGCTTTGAAGAGACAGTCTCCGCGTTCCTCCCTCCCTTTTTCCTCCTCCATCCTACCCCCTCCCCCTCTCCTCCCTCTCCCTGCGTTCGTGGCCCCATAGGGAGCTCCACCGAAGCCCCCAGCGCCACAGCCCGCATGCGTCCCAAAACATATTTTGTTTTACATGTTTCGACCACCCAGTACAGCGTTTCGTGGCCCCACAGGGAGCTCCACCGAAGGCCCCAATGCCACCCTCCGCGCGCGTCCCAAACACCCAATTTGGCGCTTTCGCATGCCAGTACACCGCTTCGTGGCCCCATAGGGAGCTCCACCGAGGCCCCCCTGTCGAGCTCCACCGAAGGCCCCAATGCCACCGTCCGCACGCGTCCTGAAATACCGAATTCGGCATTTCCGCCCACCCAGTACAGCGCTTCGTGGCCGCATAGGGCGGTCTTGCCACCGTCCGCATGCGCCCCCCCCCCCCCCCACACACACACACACACACACACACACACACACACACACACACACACACACACACACACACACACACACACACACACACACACACACACACACACACACACACACACTTTGACACTTTCACACACACAGTACAGCGCTTCGTGGACCCATTGGGAGCTCCACCGAAGCCCCCAGTGGGACTGTCCACATGCGTCCCGGAAATCCAACTGGGCGTTTTCACCCACCCAGTGCAGCGTTTCGTGGCCCCATAGGGAGCTTCACCGAAGCCCCGATGGGGAGAGTTCAACAACAACAATCATTTTAAGACTGCTCGTTTTTTATGTTTGTATCTGCTCGCGGGCCACTCAACACGTATATCCCAAACCCTCGATAGCCGCCCTCGTCGTCTTCGGTCGTACCCCCTTGGAGGTATATCTTCCTTACCTGCCGCGTGCATGTCGTGCAGCCCTTGAAACAAGGAAAGAGGAGACGGGTGGGAAGGGGGAGGGAGAATCATGGAACACGAGAGAAATTTTCAGGATGGGGGGCAAGGAACAGAAAGCATGTGGTATAACCAGACGGGCTGATCGGGTGGGCAGACCCATGGTGGACAGGTCGGGAGGGCGGGCCCACGCGACCAGGTCGAGCAGGCGGGTTGCTGAAGCGTGGGTCCTGCATGAATCGCGAGGAGGTCTCGAACGATAGCGCGATTTGTTGCCGGAGGGGGGGCAAAAATAATTGTTCTTCGGTAGTGAGAGTCCAACAACGCCAACGAGAAGTTCAAGACTGTTCGCTTTTACTGGCACGCGTGTCTTGGATTCTGTACACGCAAACCCTTGATACCCGTCCACTTCGTCTTCGATCGAACCCCCTTTTGGGGGGAATATCTTCCTTGTCGGGCACTCACTGGCATGCGAGGTACTCTAGAGCGAGAGCGCCGTTCCTGAGTTCGGGGGCCTCTCTGTCCAGGGGCTCTCGGAATACAGATTGAGAAATATCGAACGGGAACCCTTGTCGCCGTTTCTTGGACTCCACCACCTTGCTTGAATGATTAGAAAATCTCGAGCAAAAGCGCCACTCTTGAATTCGGGGGCCTCTCTGGCCAGGGCCTCTGGGAATACACCTTGAGGAAGTGTCGAACGAGAGCCCTCGTAGTCGTAGTTGGGCCTCCACCGATTTCATTGCATCGCGAGAATATCTCAAGCGAGAGCGCCGTTCCTGAGTTCGGGGGCCTTCCTGGCCAGAGGTTCTCGGAGAAAACCGTGAGGAAGTATCGAGCAGGAGCCCTTGTCGTCGTGGCGGGGCCTCCGCCAACTTGATTACATTGCGAGGAAGTTTCGGGCGAGAGCGCCGTTCCTGAGTTCGGGGGCCTTGCTGGCCGAGGTGTCACGGGGTAAATTGTTGCCTCCTAGGGCGCACATTTACAATCAAGCCCGCGCTGGAGCGGGAGCTTCGCTTTCACAGGAATTGCAGCCGGCGTCGAGACGAGAACAGCAACGTAACAACAATCCGCACCGCGGAACCCCTTTTCAGCCACGCCCCAAGGGACAGCGAACGATTGTTCGCCCCCCCCTTGTCTGACTTGTGGTGTTCTGTTTGCTCCCCATGCGCAGGTGACCCCCTTCGAGGGCCTCATGGAGATCGCGGGCAACGCCAGCACTGGCGCGGCGAAGATCTGGGTGGCCGCCAAGCCAGAGGACGCGAAGGGCGCCGACGTGGCCGTGGTTTGCGTAGCGGCCCACGCCGAGGAGGGTTGGGACCGCGCGGATGCCGAGATGCCCGAGGCGTGGAACCTGCTGGTGCTCCGCACGGAAGAAAGGGCCCGCCTCGATCCGATTCGATCCCGATGCGACGCGGATGTCGGCCAGCTCGATCCGATTCGATTCCGATGTTCCCTCGATCCGACGCGGCCCGATGCTTGCGTGGCGATGCTGTGCATCCTCCCGCAGCCGATCCAAATCGGTTACGTTTCCGTGCCGATGCGGCCCGGTTCGATACACGTTCCGACCCGATCCGATTGCTCGGCTCGATGGTGATCGCCCATTCGTGGAGGAGAGTGGTCATGAGGGAGACAGCTCCCCGGATCTCGGTAGACATGATGTCTTCAATCGGGAAGCTTGTCCCCGATCGCGGCCTCCGGGGGCCGCTGCCGATCCCCAGGGCCACTAAGAGTGGTCGGGGCCGAAAGGCGACGCTCGGGGAAGCGGTCGGGATATCCCCGGGGCCGCGGACTGCCAAGGGCGAGTGTGGGTCGCGCCCTCCTGGCGGCTCCCTCCAGTCGTGGCCTGGCCGTCACTGATTATCTGGCTTTGCGCCCCATTGCCTTCTGACACGCCCTGTGGACTTTTTTCTTCCGGGCCGCCGAACAAAAAAAAGGACTGCCAACGGCAGGTCGGCGGTCGTCGGGGTCCTTGGCGAGATCCCAGGGCTCTTCGGCGAGGCCGCCTGGGCCCGTGGAGGGCCCCCAAGGGGCCTCGGAAGCGGCGAAGCACGGCGAGGCGCCCTGCCCTCGGCTGGCAGGACGCGACCTTTTGCCCTAATTAGGGAAAGCTCTTCGTCTTGATGGCCCCCAAGCCCGAGGACGAGGAAGAGGAGCGAGGAGGAGGAGGAAGAGGAGGAGCAGGAGCAGGAGGAGGAGGAGGAGCAAGAGGAGGAGGATAATGAAAACGAAGAGGAGGAGGAGGAGGAGGAGGAGGAGGAGGAGGAGGAGGAGCAGGAGCAGGAGCAGGAGCAGGAGCAGGAGCAGGAGCAGGAGCAGGAGCAGGAGCAGGAGCAGGAGCAGGAGGAGGAGGAGGACCACGAACCCCAGATGCCGAAATCGGGGAAAAGCGCCACAGGATTGGAGAAAACATGTCGCCAGAGATCTGGGTCCTTCGTGCGAAGGCGCCCCTGAGGAAGAAGTTCCCGGCGATGCCCGTCGTCGTGCTAGCTGTCACGCCCGGCCCGGTCACGACGGATTCCGGCGGGCGAAGAACGGAGCTTGCACATGTGCATTCATATTTTTGCATGTGCACACGCACACGCACGTCCACGCACATCTATACATGTGTATATATAGATATATGTCTACGCATATATGTATATACATACATACACATGTACATATATGGATATATCGTTATATATACATATATGTGTAGAACAGTTCTGTACATGTAAACACATGTATATGTATTTATACATAGCATAAACTGTCCCGCCATCGGGGGCGCCTGTCCCAGAACGGCTGAAAAGTTTGTGTTCTCCGACGTGCCGCCGCAGGGGTACAAATTTCCGTGCCGACCTGGGACAGGAGCCCCCGATCCCAGAATGCCGCCGTCTTGACTTCTCCACATCGTGGACCCCCAAAGGTCTCGACGCTTCCCGGACCAGATTCTCATCCTGGGCAGTGTTTCCTTACCAAGTCCTGGCAGTTACCCCAAAATCAAAGAATCTGGAAGATCCGGGACCCTGGATGCAGGAAATTTGTTCAAATCGCCGCCGAGATTATTGCGAAGGCCTTACGGCCGGTGCCGCCGACCCTGAATGGCGACGACGACGACGACGACGACGACGAGCGCTCTTGGGGGCCTCTTGGGGGTAGTTTGTGGGCCTCTTGGGAAGGTCTTAGGGGCCGCTTGGAAGCCTCGTGGGGGCCTCTTGGGGCTTCCTGGGGGTCTCTTGGAGGGGGCCTGGGACGTCTTGGAGGCTTCTTGGACGGTCTTGGGGCTGTCTTGGGCGTTTTCGGCCGATCTTTGGGCGACTCGGGGCCCTCTTGGGCCGTCTCGGGGGCCATCTTGGGCATTCGGACCTCATTTGGAGTGTTTTCGAGGTTTCTAGGCCGCCCGAGGAAAAACGAATCTGCCCCCCCACCCCCCCCGGGACCCCCCCCGGGACCCCCCCCGGGACCCCCCCCCCTGGGGAAGGGATCAAAGGGAAGGGGCTTCCCTTCGACTCGATTACGACACTGCTAGATTTTTCTCTCGCTCACGAGCTTGAGAAGGAAGCTGCAGGGAAAGGGGACGACGGAGGCGACGACCGACGGAGACGACGACTCGAACAGCCAAGCCCCTCGCACACGCCGACAGGGTCGGCGGATTTCAAGACGCGAAGATCGGTGGGGGATGGCAAGAAAGCCAAAATACCTAAGCAGCGTATCTGTTTTACATTCGTGCTTTAGCGACTGGTGGGGGAGATGTGCCATCGAAATCAATGGCCCTTCGTAGCCCCCCATCGTGGCCCTCAGCGTGGCCCTGCAAAGCTGGGATGCACGTGTGGGGACTTGCGCGTCGAGTGTTTTCAATTCGGTGCCAGAAGTTCGGACCTTTTTCCAAGCGCGCTGGCGTTGCCTCCTAGAGTCATTCTTTGACCGTCCTGGCGCCTGGCGAGGGCCCCCAGAAGCCGACAGGTACGAAAAGCCTCCGCATCCTCTGTTAGAGCAGGCACTCGGCCCCGCAGGGACGTAATCCCCCGAGCCTTGACCCAGCGGCACAATAGGCACCGACAAAGCCGGGCAAGGCGGCCTGCAGACCAATGCCAGCAGAGTAGGCACTGGCAGTGCTGCTCGTGTCTCTGATGTGTGAAGCATCGGCGTCTCTAGATTGCCCATTATCCAAAAGGCTTCGCCTTCCCCCTCATAGGATCATTAAAATGTTGTGGGCCTGGGTACTGCCACTCGCCCGATCGAGGACTGGGACGACCTCGCCGACGCCGTCGTGATGATGTTCATGCCCGGCGAGCAGGTCGGCCCCGCCTTCGCGGACATCCTCACTGGCAGGCAGGAGCCCACCGGGCGCCTCCCCGTCAGCCTACCCGCGAAGAAGGACCGCCTTGAAGAAAACGCATGGTAGGTGAACTTTTTCCCCAGACAGCTTGCTGAACGGGGTGCTGTTGTGATAGAAGCTAACTCCGGCCGAGGGAATTCAAAGCAGAGACGTCCTCAACAAAAATTTGGTGGTCCGGGCCGTTTCGCCTGAGACATCCTCGCAATTCTCGTTTCTGAGTTGTCTGGGATTGGCATTTCGCATGAAACATCCTCCAAATTCTGAGTTCCCAGATGCCGCGCAAGAGGTGGTCTGGCCCGTTTCGCCTGAGACATCCTCGAAACTCTGAGTTCCGAGATGCCGCGCGAGAGGTGGTCCGGCCCGTTTCGCCTGAGACATCCTCCAAACTCTGAGCTCCCAGATGCCGCGCGAGAGGTGGTCCGGCCCGTATCGCCTGAGACATCCTCCAAATTCTGAGCTCTGAGTTGCCGTGCGCGAAGTGGTCTGGCGCGTTTCGCCTGAGACAACCTTGCAACCCTGAGTTCTGAGATGCCGCGCAAGAGGTGGTCCAGCCCATTTCATTTCGCCTGCAACATCCTCGAAACTCTGGGCTCCGAGATGCCGCGCAAGAGGTGGTCCGGCCCGTTTCACTTGAGACATCCTCCAAACTCTGAGCCCTGATATGCCGTGCGCGAGGTGGTCCGGCCTGTTTTGCCTGAGACATCCTCGCAACTCTGCGCTCTCTGATGCCGCGCGAGAGGTGGTCCGGCCCGTTTCGCTTGAGACATCCTTCAAACTCTGGGCTCCGAGATGTTGCCCAAGAGGTGGTCCAGCCCTTTTCGCTTGAGACATCCTCGCACTTTTGCATTCCGAGATGCCGCGCGAGAGGTGGTCCGGCCTGTTTTGCCTGAGACATCCTCGCAACTCTGCGCTCTCTGATGCCTCGCGAGAGGTGGTCCGGCCCGTTTCGCTTGAGACATCCTTCAAACTCTGAGCCCCGAGATGCCGCCCAAGAGGTGGTCCAGCCCGTTTCGCTTAAGACATCCTCGTAACTCTGAGCTCTGAGATGCCGTGTGCGAGGTGGTCTGGCGCGTTTCGCCTGAGACAACCTCGAAACTCTGAGTTCTGAGATGCCGCGCAAGAGGTGGTCCAGCCCATTTCATTTCGCCTGCAACATCCTCGAAACTCTGGGCTCCGAGATGCCGCGCAAGAGGTGGTCCGGCCCGTTTCACTTGAGACATCCTCCAAACTCTGAGCCCTGATATGCCGTGCGCGAGGTGGTCCGGCCTGTTTTGCCTGAGACATCCTCGCAACTCTGCGCTCTCTGATGCCGCGCGAGAGGTGGTCCGGCCCGTTTCGCTTGAGACATCCTTCAAACTCTGAGCCCCGAGATGCCGCCCAAGAGGTGGTCCAGCCCTTTTCGCTTGAGACATCCTCGCACTTTTGCATTCCGAGCTACCGCGCGAGAGGTGGTCCGGCTCGTTTCGTCTGAGACGTCCTCGAGACATCTTCGCAATTCTGACCTCGGAGATGCCGCGCGCGACGTGGTCCAGCCCGTTTCGCCTTAGACATCCTCGCAACTCTGAGCTCTGAGATGCCCTGCGCGAGGTGGTCCGGCCCGTCTCGCTTGAGACATCCTCGTAACTCTGAGCTCTGAGATGCCGCGCAAGAGGTGGTCCAGCCCATTTCATTTCGCCTGCAACATCCTCGAAACTCTGGGCTCCGAGATGCCGCGCAAGAGGTGGTCCGCCCGTTTCACTTGAGACATCCTCCAAACTCTGAGCCCTGATATGCCGTGCGCGAGGTGGTCCGGCCTGTTTTGCCTGAGACATCCTCGCAACTCTGCGCTCTCTGATGCCGCGCGAGAGGTGGTCCGGCCCGTTTCGCTTGAGACATCCTTCAAACTCTGAGCCCCGAGATGCCGCCCAAGAGGTGGTCCAGCCCTTTTCGCTTGAGACATCCTCGCACTTTTGCATTCCGAGCTACCGCGCGAGAGGTGGTCCGGCTCGTTTCGTCTGAGACGTCCTCGAGACATCTTCGCAATTCTGACCTCGGAGATGCCGCGCGCGACGTGGTCCAGCCCGTTTCGCCTTAGACATCCTCGCAACTCTGAGCTCTGAGATGCCCTGCGCGAGGTGGTCCGGCCCGTCTCGCTTGAGACATCCTCGTAACTCTGAGCTCTGAGATGCCGCGCAAGAGGTGGTCCAGCCCATTTCATTTCGCCTGCAACATCCTCGAAACTCTGGGCTCCGAGATGCCGCGCAAGAGGTGGTCCAGCCCGTTTCACTTGAGACATCCTCCAAACTCTGAGCCCTGATATGCCGTGCGCGAGGTGGTCCGGCCTGTTTTGCCTGAGACATCCTCGCAACTCTGCGCTCTCTGATGCCGCGCGAGAGGTGGTCCGGCCCGTTTCGCTTGAGACATCCTTCAAACTCTGAGCCCCGAGATGCCGCCCAAGAGGTGGTCCAGCCCTTTTCGCTTGAGACATCCTCGCACTTTTGCATTCCGAGCTACCGCGCGAGAGGTGGTCCGGCTCGTTTCGTCTGAGACGTCCTCGAGACATCTTCGCAATTCTGACCTCGGAGATGCCGCGCGCGACGTGGTCCAGCCCGTTTCGGGATCCACTGTTGAAGTGCAAACGAAACAAGCCGACAGCGTTTTGAAAGAAAACGCGTCGATGTTGTTGCCCGTTCTCGGCGCCTGGGGGCCTGTGCTGGGCTCAACGACAATCAAACACAACTCTGGATGAAAAACCTGCCGCGGGGATAGGGTCGGGATTTTCAGGGACCCCCTATTCAAACATCAAAGTGTTGGTTGGTCCGGGGATGCCTGGCGATATGATTTGCCCCGAATGAATCCGGAACGGACACCTGCCTTTGGAAAGGGGGCGGGACTTGACGCTCCGCATGGGAAATTCTCATTGCCGTGAGTCTGGGTCCTGAGGGCTTGGGCCGTTTTCGGCCTCCCGGGGCTCCACGGGCTTCGGATTGGTACGCGCGGGATGGTGCAGAATTGGGGCCACGACCAGCATCAGTTCATGCCAATCTTGAACTGGGCTCGCTGTCGGTGTCGCCGCGGGCGCTGTCCATCCGAGACAAGGAGTCGCCTGCCCAATAGCGGCCGTTGCTGGTGTGGGACAGCGTTTCCCCTTGGGCATCATGCGCAGCTGTCCTTGACCACGCCGGGCGTTTTGACCGGGACTCTCATAAAATGCGTCAGGATATGAAGCTGGCGTTGGCGAAAGCCCTCCCCCGGGGGTCCAGGACAAGTCTCCCTCAGGAATCTTTTTATCGCGGACGAAAAGCTGCATCGCATGATGAATTCCGCCATCGGGTACTGTTGTCCAAGGGCGACTTGGGAGTTTATACCCTGACGTGCCCCCGTAGTGGCATAAATTTTCCAGCCGCCTTGAGACAGGCGCAACCGATGGCAGAAAAGCTTATGTTGCACCGTTCGTCGTCCGCCCGATGTTCCTTCGTGCCAGCAGGAGAGCCGCTTCTCCTCGAAGCAGTACCCGGGCGAGTGCGAAGGTCCCAACGTCTCGAAGTGGTGCGAGTGGATGACCGCGTCCTTCACCGAGAGCGTTTTGATCGGGTACCGCTGGAACGACGCCATGGAGGAACCCGCCGCGTACCCTTTTGGCTTCGGCCTGACCTACACCGACTTCGAGGTCAGGAACGTCGGGGCAGGCTGCAAAGACGAGAAAGCCATCGTTGCCGCCACAGTCGCCAACGTGGGCGGCCAGGACGGCACGGCAGTGCTGCAAGTGTACGTCGGCTTCCCCAGCCTGAGCCCCGTGCTCCGCCAGCTGAGGGCCTTCAGGAAGGTGAAGGTCCCGTACGGCGGCACCGTCGACATCGAGTTCTTCCTTGGGCGAGAGGACTGGAGCTACTACGACTTGGATCAGAAGAATTGGGTGTCGGCGGCGTCCAAGAAAGAAAACATCACCATAAGTTTGGGGACCTCTTCCCGCGACCTGCACTGGACCGGCGATGTGTCCTGCCATTGAGCTGGGCGGGATGTTCGCGGCGTTGGTCAGGCTCCCATTCTCCTTCCACGCTCTGGAGGTGGTCCTCCCTCCCTTCTCCACCCCCCTCCCTTATGAATAACCCTTCCATGTCGCATCCCCAGACGTGTTGGTAGGGCGGGCCAGGCGTTTCGCCTGAGACGTCCTCTCCATTCATGATCCTGGAGCTTGAAATCCGCAAGAGGTTCACAGACGGAAGGCGGGTGGTTGTTGAAATGTGGCTCTCGCCTGAGTGCCGCTAACATGTGTTCATAACATGTACAACCGTTGCAACGGGTAGTATTCAAAACTATTGTTCTTTTTGTAGCGCCCCGCACACTTTTTAAAAAGATTGTAGCAGCTTCACGGATGAATGGTGGTTTGTCTTCAATCTGTGATTACTGCTTGAGCAAAGCCCACATCCAGTTTCAGAGCTTGCAGCAGCTTCACGAGTGTAGGGCGGGCCGACTTCAAAAGCTTGTTCTCGCTTTGGCGCCACGCGCATTCGTCTGAAAAGTTTGCAGCAGCGTCACGGATTAATTGTGGGTTGAGTTCCACATGTGGTTTTCGCTTGAGCGACGCGCACATGCGTTTTAATTTGTTCAGCCGCTTCGCGGATGTAGTGCGGGCCAGGACGCAACAGTCATGTTGGTTCGGGGTTGAAGTCCCAAGAATGGTGTTTTGGCACGGTCTAGGGCTGTCAGGACGCAGCAGTCAAATTTACTCGCGACGCTGAATCCGCAGAAATTGTGTTTCTGCACGATTGGGAATTCTCAGAAGATTCTCTTCCAACGGGGCACCTCGCACAATGAAACTAAATGATTGTAAAGACCTATGAAAAAGGATCTCGGAGGGAGGGGTGATTGCAACATCGTTGATGCGTCTTCGGTTTACACTCGTCCTCCTCCTCCTCGTCCATTTTCCTGGCATGAGGCATAATTTGGGCGAATTCTTTTGCCATAGCGTTATAGGCAAAGCTTTGATCACAGCCAAAGCTGTGATTACCAAGGCTTTAGCACGCCAGCGGCAGCGTGAACCCGTCCTCGCGCAGCTTTCCTAGGGGCGCCCCGCAAGTGAGCGCCTGCGTCAGGGGCGCTACGTTCTCTCCTCCCTCTCCTCCCGACTCCTCCTCCTCTTCCTCCAAACGCAGTTCTGCAGGCCCAGGCGACGCGCGGCGACGCCGAGTGGTCATCCTCGACGCTCCCCTGGCGGCGCGGCCACAACGGCCTCGCCGCCCTGCATGCATGCGCCCCTCGATCTATTGGCACCGCCCACGTGAAATCATGCAATTCATGCCACCCCTGGATGTCCCCAGGCTGGCGGGTTAGGTGGCCGCAAACTCGGCCTTCGGCCGGCGGGAGAGACCCCGCGCCGGCCAGGCCCCCCCTGCCTCGCGGGCAGCGCAGGAGATATGCCCTCCTCCTGCTCTTCCTTCCCGCTGTTCCCTCTGCTGCTCCGTCCTCCGCCCTCCTCCCCCTCTGCGATCCTCCTCCGCCCTCCCCCTTCCCTTCCTCTCCTCCACGTGGGCTCCGAGCCCCCCTCCCCTGCTCCTCCTCATCCTGCTCCTCCTCCTCCTCCTGCTCCTCCTCCTCCTCCCCCTCCTCCTCCTCCTCCTCCTCATCATCATCATCATCATCAACATCAACATCAACATCAACATCATCATCATTATCCTCCTTCTCCTGCTCCGCCTCCTCCTCCCCTCCTCCTCCGCCTGCTCTTCCTCCTCCGCCTTCACCTTCGCGCGCCAGATCCACGGATCCGTGATCCATGTCAGCGTGTGCCCGATGCCCTTCAGATCTCTGACGTCGTGATTTTTTTCCTAGCGCGGACCCCCAGAGGTTTAGAATCCTTCCCACGGACCGGCTTTCCATCGGGTCCCGGGGCCCGGCGAGGGCCCTTGGAGGCCGAAGATGGCCAGAAATCTCCCGTCGTGACGTGACATTCTCGCAGCGAGAGGAAGTGTGAGTCGTTCGCTCGCTCGCTACCTGCAGGCTCGCGCTCGTAGCCTTCACGTGTAAAAACGGTGAGGAGAGGCGGGAATGGGATGGAGTCCTCGCTCTTGTCCAGCGCAAACATACTGTCAATCACCTTTTCCCTGAACAGTGCTTGGGACTTGGGTTGGTGTGCCGCTCTCGCTGTTATGTGGTCGTCGTCGCCGCCCCGTCGCCGCATCGTCGCCGCCCGTCGTCAGGGCCGGTGTTCCGCTCTGGGGGCTATGTCGTCACCGTCGCCGCCTCGTAGCCGCCCGTCGTCTGGGCCAGTGTGCTGCTCTGGCGGTTAAATCGTCGCCGTCGCCGCCCCGTCGCCGCCTCGTCGCCGCCCGTCGTCTTGGCCTGTCTGTGGGTCTGGCGGCTATGTCGCCGTCGCCGCCCCGTCACCGCCCTAGATTGCACAACACAGATTGCACAATACAGATTGCACCACAAACATTGCACGGCATAGGTTCTTCTTTAGAAGAGAGTAAGAGGATCTCCCCCCCCGAATTACTGCTTCCCTTTTTCGTATTGCAACATCGTACGATTATGCCCCATCGCCCATCCTAAATATGAATACATACTATCCCAGGCAGGCCTGTATCTGCACTCCACTTCGTCCTCTGCCAGAGAACTATGCGCGCGCACTCGTTCTACAGTTCTCAAACATCCCTGGCAAAAAACGGGACGAATTCCTCACTCGCGCGCCGTCGCGCGCTCACGCCAAGATCGTTCAAAACTCTTGATTTCGGTAATATTTTGAAACAGGTGGTTTCGCAACAAGAAGGCGTAACAACAGCTTGCGCCCGCGCTCTTGCGAATTCTTGGGAAAAAAGCATAGGTTTATCAACATGTTCATCACACGCTACCAAGCAGGCCTCTTCGCGCACATGTCGAAATCGTTCGAACGCCCGTGCGCGCGTGCTGTCGCAAGAATCTCTTGCCGAAAAACGGCACAAAGTGCACACGAGCGCGTCGTCGCGCGCGCACGCCACAGTCTTTCAAGCACATTGGATTTCGTCAGGATTTCAAAATCGAGTGTCCCGAATATATATATATATATATATATATATATATATATATATATATACATACGTACATATAGATATATGTGTATATATATTTATATATATATATATATGTAACGCCATGGTTGTGCAGCACCAGTTTACACACAGCAAGCAAACGACAAAACAGAAAACCTGCGCTCGCGCTTAAAAGCTCGCCCCTGGGCCTTCTGCCAGCCCCAAGCCAAGGGGCGAGCATACATACAGGCGCAGCACCGCGCTGCATGCGTAGCCTTCGGCTGGGCAAGGCAGGGCCCCTTGGCTTAAAGCTGCCAGCGAAATGTCCTTACCGCCCTGACTTAAACTGCCAGCTCAATATCCTCACGCCCTCGCTTAACACTGCCAGTGAAGGCTTAAAACTGCCAGCGAAGAATCTTCACCGCCCTCGCGCAAAACTGCCAGCGAAGTATCCCCACGCCCCTGGCCTAAAACTGTCAGCAACATATCCCTACAGCCCTCGCTTACAATTGCCAGCGAAGTATCCCACACCCCTCGCTCAAAATTGCCAGTGTAATAGTTTCATCGCCTCGCTTAAGATTGCAAGCGAAATGTCCTCACACCCCTCACTCAAAATTGCCAGCGGAATAGCATCACCCCCCTGGCCTAAAACTGCCGGCAAAATATCCTTACCGCCCTGACTTAAAATTGCCAGCGCATTAATCTCACAAACACATTCACACACTCACACACACACACACCTCGCTGGACACTGCCAGCGAAGTCTCCTCGGCGCCCTCACTTAAACTGCTTGCGAAATATCCTCACACCCCTCGCTGAAAACAGCCAGCGAAATATCATTACCCCCCGGCTTGAAACTGCAAGCAAATATCCTTACCGCCCTGACTCAAAACTACCAGCGCAATATTCTCTCTCTCTCTCACACACACACACACCTCGCTGGACACTGCCAGCGAAGTCTCCTCGGCGCCCTCACTTAACCTGTTTGCGGAATCTCCTCACACCCCTCGCCAAAAATTGCCAGCGACATATCCTCACACCTCTGGCTTAAAATTGCCAGACCATCTTGGCCCAAAACTGCAAGCGAAATATCCTCACCGCTCTGACTTACAGCTGCCAGCGAAATATCCTCACCCCCAGAAATAAAACTACCATCTAACGGCTGTGGTGATTCAGTTGTCAGCTCTGTCAGTCAGTCATTCAGTCAGTCTTATTTCTGGAAATCAAATTACGGGCTGCCTCCGTAAACCATGGTTTCTTCAACATGTTCGTTAATCTCTGCCAAACGAGCTTGTCGCACAACATGCTGGGGGGGGCACGATCCGTGTCAAATCATACCGTGCTGGCCACTCGCGCGTCGGCCCCGCGCGCATGACGAACTCCTTCCAAAACTTTCATCACCGACGCGAAGACGCCGTCATCGTCGTCGGCGTGATCAGCATCGGCGCCGTCAGTGGCCTTGCCGTCGCCGTTGTCACCATCGCATCGTCACCAGCATCGCTACGGTCATGTTCGTGTCTGCCGTTGTCGACGTTGCCCTGATACCGCGCCCTTCC